CCCCAAAACCCCAAAACCCCAAAACCCCAAAACCCCTTTATTTGAAAAGCAAATAGATACGGTTCAAATATTTGAAGAATAAACAATCTGCGCAATTTATCTCCTAGCCTTGCTTACCATCTCTAAGATTTTTAAGAAGATGGTGATGATGTCGATGTAGATCATCAAGGCAGCAAGGATGTAGTCATCTTCACTAAATCTGTTTGATTTGTCACCCTTCAACATCTGAGTATCTGCGATCAGAATAAAGCTGAATATAATTGTTCCACCTGCACAGTAAAGAATGTACATGGTGTCGCTTGGGAAGATCAACATTAAGATGATCAGTGTTATGAATGAAGAGAGGAGCACCCAAATGATTGAACCGCAAACAGTAAAATCATTCTTTGTATACCAAGCGTAAGCGGTTAGGGTTAGCACAAGAACCATTGTCATAAAAGCAGAGATAAGAACAATGAAAGGTTCATCAACTTCAGCTCAAATGGTAGCTACAACTATTGATTCACAAAAAGTAAAAATGAATAGGCAAATGTAGTTATCAGGAACCTTCCTTCCATATTTACAGCAGATTATCATGATTTCTGTTACCAAAGCTCCAACAAGACAGAGGCCAGCGAGCCATGCATTTCTGAGGAGCCATGGTCCAAGCTCTGTCAGCACAGCCATGAACACGAAAACTCCTGTGATCAAGATCTGAATACTGATGATTCCATAAACCTTTGAGATGAAGCCTTGTCTGATTTCTTCGCTCATATCCTGATCATCCTTATAGACATGAAAAGCTTGAGGGCCGGACTCGATCTGAGGCCTTCCGCTTGAATGATCCTGAAAGGCATTAAAGCCTTCGTTCTCAGGGGTGGGCTTGACCGAGGAGTAATGATGGTCCCTTAGAGCTTTTTGCTTATAATTAACTGACATATTGATTATACTATCCCGATTAATTCTAAATTTATAAATTCATTAGCAAATAAGGCTCAGGGGTTTTGGGGTTTTGGGGTTTTGGGGTTTTGGGGTTTTGGGGTTTTGGGG